ACCTACCAGTATCTCCATCCATCCATCCATCCATCCATCCATCCATCATCTTTCTATCTGTTTTATTATTAATCAGGTACATCTCTCTATCATCTACCTATCAATCCTACCTAAGAGCAGCTCATAATATCTCAGACTGAAAAAACAATGCTGTGCCTCCCATTGGTTGGCGGTGACGTCGCGCTCCAAAGCTTCACTCCCAGCGAAGCCCCCTTTTCCCGGCCTGAGCCCCCCCTGCTTAATTTCGCCAACTAATTAATCTAGCAAGGAAGAGGAAGGGGGGCTGGGGGGTCCCTCTGAACAGGCAGGGTGTCCATTATGATGAGTGCGTGGGCAGTCTTCGGGAAGGCTTACAACCCCCACTTCTGACCGGAGCCTTTCTCATTAAGCAAAAAAATGTTGATCTGGTGCCAGGTTGTGCAAAAAATTCCTTCGAGTTTAATTAGCACCAAAACCCAGCGTGGCTGGGGACAGGATCATTTGAAGATGCGGTCGGGGACGGGTGGCAGGGTGGCAAATGGGCTTCCCCTGGGGGAGAGGGCTCAATTATTGAAGTGGCCCAAGAGATGGGCGCTCGGTTGCCTCTAATGTGGACAACCGCAACAACAAAAAAAGAACCCAGAAAATGGTTGCTTCCCTGGAAGCGGTTGGTGGAGTTCTCTACAAGGAGCACCGCTCAGCCAACAAAGCCAAGCCGGATGGGTCTCTGCCTGATTGGGGCAGGGTAGAAAAAGTGAGGAGGACAGGTAGTCCCCTTGAGTTACAACAGATCCCCCAAAACATGCTTATGTGACCTGGATTCGAGGTTGTAGGAGTCAGGCCTCCCCAAGGTCATGTGACCTCATGTTGGGTGTCAGGCAACTGACCTGCATTTATAGTCATTCACAGTGTTCCACAATCAAGTGACCACAATTTAAATCAATCCTCTATCATCTCTATCTAATTTTTATCTGTCTATTTGTCTGTCTATCTATCTCTGTCTGTCTGTCTATCATCTATCTATCTACCTATCTCTTTGTCTTGTCTATCTCTATATCTGTCTGTCTCTATCTATCTATCTATCTATCTATCTATCTATCTATCTATCTATCTATCCATCCATCCATCCATCCCTATATCTATCCCTATATCTATCTGTCTGTCTATCTATCTACCCCTATATCTATCAATCTGTCTATCTGTCTATCTGTCTATCTATCTATCTATCTATCTATCTATCTATCTATCTATCTATCTATCCATCCATCCATCCCTATCTCTCTCTCTCTATCATCTACTGTATCTATCTATCTATCTATCTATCTATCTATCTATCTATCTATCTATCTATCTATCTATCTATCTATCTATCCATCCCTATATCTATCCATCCATCCATCCTTATATCTATCTATCTGTCTGTCTATCTATCTATCCCTATATCTATCAATCTGTCTGTCTGTCTGTCTATCCATCCAACCATCCATCCATCTATTGATCTGTCTATCTGTCTATCAGCGCTCTCTCTGTCTATCTAACCTTCATCTGTCTATTTGCCTGCCTGCCTGCCTCTCTCTCTCACACACATCTGTCTGTCTATCTATCTATCATGTTTGTCCATCTATCCATCCACCCACCTATCCACCCACTCATCATCCATCCAATTATTTTGCTAAAAACCATTTATTTCCAACAAAATCTGCCCCTTGAGGAGAATGAGTTCAATAAACAGTTTCAGACTCACTTAGCAACCCTGGGGATTCACTTCAAGACTGCCTCAAAAAAAGGTCATAAAATCGAGTCAATCACGTAACGGCCCACTTAACGACTGGCACGGCTTAATGAGCATAATTGTGGGCTCAACAACGGTCGTAAAAAAAATGTCATAAAACCGAGTCGCTCACATCACATCAGCCGCCTTAATGACTGGTGCAACTTAACGATGGCGGTCATAAGTCAAGGGCTATCGGTAAGCAAACAGACAGACCCAAAGGTCCTCTTTTTTTTTCTTCTTTTTTTTCAGGAGGCCACTGGACTTTTCTGGTCTTTCTTTAGAAGATGTTTCGCTTCTCATCCAAAGAAGCTTCTTCCGCTCTGACACACAGACAGACTAATGCACTCCACCCTTTCTGATTAAAGTCGCAGACTTTTCAATAAATGAATGCTTAAGAATTGGTGTCTTCGGGTTATTTTAACAAACGTATCACAAACAGGTCGATTGGACTCCTTTGGCGCATAACAATAACAACAACATAAAACGGGGAGAGCAGATTTCGGTGGAAGAGAAAACACCAGAGGTTTGCAAATGCCCCTAAATTAAATTCCAGATCCTGCGGTCCCAAATGCATGCCTTTGCAAAGAATTTATTGCCTCTGCAAAACACAGCTGCAGCCTGCAAGGAGGGGCGGTGAGCGGCATTCAGGAAAGCAAAGAATCGATTGTAGAAATGACCCCTATCCTTTCCCGTCCATGGGATGGGAAAAATATGTGCTGCTTGGATGTACGTACAATGGACACGTACAATGGATACGAGCAGGGACACGTACGGGCGCTGGTAATCACGTGGAAGTATTATTTCCGTGTTTCCCCCAAAATAAGACCCTGTCTTATGGGGTTTTTTT